TACCACTAAGCCAGACCCCCAACCCTATCAAAAGCTCCCAATGTAAGGACGTATGTTAATCTGGCAGGCAACTAGACTGTCAGCGTGTCATAGCCACAGATACTAGAGGCTTTTCTTTTTCTTTCCTTTGTTCTGTGCTCAGAGTATGTTCTTGTAGACCTTTTAGCTATAACCTACGGTTCTCATCATGGGAGCCTTGCTGGTGTGGTGGCAGTGTAAGAGCATGGTGGGGGACTGTCCCCCTCTGACCTTCAACTCAGTCATCGTTCTTTTAGTTGCTGTGCCTGGCGGGGAGGGGGTGGGATTAAAATTTGAGTCTGGTCCCTTTTCGGTGTTTCCAGTCCATTTTTGTGGAGCCTTGACCCCTTTTGACTATTGCTTGAGCTGTTGATTTTCCTTAGGTGGGACAGGAAGGCTAGAGAGGTCTGGAGGGATGGGCTCTTTCCTTCAGCCTGGAGGTTTCAGCATAGCCCTGGGGAGCCCCTCTCCTTCAAGGGAGGCTTTTGTTAGGGACAAGGGGTCACAGTTTTCCCAATTCCCTCCCTTCTACCATCCCCATCAGGGCCATGAGGATCTTTCTGTGATCCTCATTCTAAAAAATGTGGACTGGTTCCTGGAAGAAAATCCTCTAGAACTTTTGGTTCCCTTTATCACCCAGGCCCCAGCTTCCCACTCAGTCTGCAAAAACATGTCAATATTTCTATGCAAGTGTTCCTGCCAGTTCTAGGTATCTCTAGACTTCCTTCCAGGCTTCAGATCTTGGCCCCAGTACTTCTCTGGATATGTGCTTGGATCTGGGGGTGKCGGGGTGGGGGGTGGCCCTGTGATCTCAGTTCTCTGATAGGTCAAGGGAAGTCAATGATATTCAGTTTGTCYAACTTTTTCTTATTAAAGGATAGGATGATGATTTCTAAGGTCTTTACCTGTAACAATAACAGCAARAACAATAGAAATCACTCCCCCCTCGACCATGGAGTTTGAATGTGAATGTGGAGTTCAGGCATTAACGTCAGGACGGGCAGTTGGCGGTGAAGCGGAGTCGTGGGAACAGAAAGCTCAGTTCATTATAAACATACCTGCTTTCACTGTTACGATGAGTTCTGTTTTCACAATTTTGMAGAGGACTTTAGAGAATAGAGAATAAAGAGTGAATAAAGCTTCGTTTATAATAACAAATATGGGAAACAACTCTCATGTTCAACAACTGGGGAGAGTTTCAAGTAACTGTCACCTATGAGACGGCCCTGCAGTTGTTCAGAGGAATAGGGGGAGGTTTCCAAGCCCGAGGAGGAAGTCCTGGGCAGAAAAAAAAAAGAAAGAAAAGATCAAAGGTCACATGCATTTATGTCATGGGCCAGAAAAGTTCTGAGGACCCACACCAGAATTTGAGAAGGAGGGAAGAAGAAAGTGCCCTTTGCCTGACCTGGTTGCAATAAATGTGAATTAATTTTGTAACAACAGAGGGCAAAGGAAGGAAAGATGGAAAATTGATTTTCACTCACAGTTTTCCCTTCTGTGCCTTTTGACTTTTCATCCCATGTATTTATTCCCAATATAGAMAATAAATAGAAAACCAGGGAGGGTAAGAAGCACACTCCCTGGCAGCTTGCAGGATCTCGCCTCACCCCTTTTCTAGTCTTCCCACTCTTTAGCTTCATCCCAATGTGGCCTGCCACACTCCCACTGCCATTCCAGCCTCACCCAGCCTGTCCCAGCTTCCCAGTGCACCCCGGCCGTCCCTTGCCACCTCTAATGTGCAACCCTAGACAAGTCACTCAGGCTCTGTGGGAGAGATAGGCRTTATTTCTTCAGTTTTTATTTCACAGAGAGAAAACCTGTGATAACTTCTATAGCTGTATGTGAACAAAGATGGTTAGAAATGATCAGAAGGCCGCTGCGGTCTCACACACCTGTGATCCCAGCAACTCCAGAGCCCGAGGCAGGAAGATCACAATTTCAAGACCAGCCTCAGCCATCCTTGGCACTTACTGAGACTCTATCTCAAAATAAATAAAAGTAAAAAGTTAAAACAAGAGCGAGAGAGAGAGAGAGAGCCAGAGAGAGAGAGAGAGAGAGAGAAAGAGAGATATGGGGGTATAGCTCAGTGATAGAGTGCCCTTGGTTTAGTTTCAGGAGAGAGAGAGATATAGCTATAGAGAGGAGGAGGAGGAGGAGGAGGAGGAGGAGGAGGAG